TTTTTTTTTTTTTTTTTTTTTTTTGAACATGGAGAAAGTTTGGGAGAAAGTGGAATTTTTTTCAAATTATCGATGGAGTTGAACTCCCAATCATTGGACCCCAAGCTCTTAAGCTTAGTGATTCATTCACACCACCACAGTTGATCATATCAATGTCACTCTCAACTCGTTGCATTCCATTCAACCGCCAAGATTCAAGTCAGCACAATATTCTTCAAATTTGTGGACATATATATATATATATATTTTTCATTCTTCAACTCTAAAAAATATACTTTTTTATCTTTTCATGAGTTTTGTCTATTAAATCTATCCAGCTAACATCTTTTTAATTTCCTTTAATTCTTTAAAGACCTAAATATTCATAAAACAATAAGTTTTGGTATTAAAATGTGCAAAAAATATTAAATTAGAGATAAAAATTATGCATAAAATAACAGTCTAGAAACCAAAACAGAATAAATGAAATGATAAAAAAAATATTCTTCATTATTGAGGGAAAAAAGTATAAATAATAGGTAGGGACTGGTGGCCTCTAGCTTTTTCACACTAGGGTTAGGGTTTAGGTTTTTTCTTTTTTCATTTTTTTTTTAATTTGTGGACACAGTTTGAATAAATATACAGTCTAGTAATAAAGTTGATTTAATATAGGTCAAATTGCAAATTTAATTCAAATACTTTTAATTTTAAACAATTTTAGTTCTTAAATTATTTTTTGTACTTTTTTTATCTCTCAACTATAAAAAATGTATTTTTTTTTTTTTTATCTTTCCAATAGTTTTGTCCACTAAGTCTGTCCAACTGACTTTTTTTAAATTTCTTTAATTCTTTAAAGACCTAAATGTACATAAAATAAATGTTTGAGTATGAAAATATGCAATAAATATTAGTTTAGGAGCAAAATTGCACATAAAACAAAAGTTTAGAGACCAAAACAAACATAACAGACAGAATTACAAAAAAAAAAGGCATTTTTCATAGTTGAGGAAAAAATAATAAAAAAATAAATGGAGACTAAAATTGTTTAAAATTTAAAGTTTAGGGTCACAGTTGGCATTTAACCTTTGATATATGGGAGGATGAAGTGGAGATAGAGGCAGAGATTGCAGGGAACAGGCAAGACTTGCCTCGGTGGTGGTGAAGTCAGAAACAAGAAAAATCGGCAGCTTATTGCATTGGGCAAACAGTGGGCCAGTTTGATTAGTTCGACATCACTCAAAAGCAACAGTAAGCTTTGAGATTTTCATCTTTCATAGAGCTAGGCAAGAAAAATAAAATGTCACCAGAGACACAAATGCTCAAGGTCAAGAGCTCTGGTAGTGGCTTAAGAGGCTTCTCAAAGAGACTTCGCTTGTTTCAAGCCATAAAATTTACATAAAAAAATAAAACATTGCAAGTACAAAGAACAATCCCAATCAATCATTATATTTGGCCAAAAAAAAAAAAAAATCATTCATCACGATGTCAAATAGGAAGCTCGTTAGATGAGTGCATTAGGCAGCTTCAATATTTTTCACAGATTGAATTGGGTGCTGAACATACAAAGAAAATTCATAATATGTATCGCTTAGTACAAGGCAAAATAGTGAAATATCATATGACAAGTACTACTTTATTAGCAGACAAAAAAAGAATGGTATAACAGGGGGAAACCTAGACAAATTCAAGCACAAAGAGTCAAGATTATGTGTAGGAGAACTGTCACAAACTCTATTTGTAATTAATATCCACCCCATCACCTTATAACTTTCAATAGTCATTCCATGATTAAACAGTACTCATCATCAGGAAAAGAGCTGTAAGTAATAGCTAACTTGAACTTCATACGGTGATCAGGAAAAAACCAATTAGGCTAGCAAACTCCAGGACTCTGGATCTTTATTCTCCTTCCTTCAATCTAACCCCGTGCATCTTTAACGTCAATCCCTCGATTAGATAAAGCTCTTCACCTTTTGAGTCATTCCCAGTGTCTCTTACTTTTGTTACTTGTTCACCACAAGGACCATAAGCCCAGCTGCAAAGAAGGAAGTATAGCAGATTGATGAAACTCATTATGGCAAGAACCCAATAGTAATAATCGTAATGACCTTTGTTTATGTTATTTGAAACCCAACTCTCTTTCCCCCTTCTTGAGGTTAGCTTAGTTACGATGCTCACTACAACACTGGATAGCAAATTGGACACTGCCATTCCTAGCCCAAACAGAGCAGCGGCAATACTTGACATGCTTTTTGGGAGCTCAGAATAAAAGAACTCTGTTTGTCCTATTGCAGTAAAAGCTTCAGCTAAGCCAAGTAAACAATATTGTGGCACAAGCCACACTGCAGACATGCGTGACACTGCACTATCATTGCTTGAGTTGCCTTCTTGGATAGCCTTCCCTCGTCTAATCATCTCAACAATTACTGAAACTACCATTGCCATGCACGAAAGTAATAGCCCAATTCCCATCCTTAGTTTAACACCAAGCTGCACTGGTTTACCCTTGATCTTTGAGGCCAAGGGGAGAATCACGCGGTCATATAGAATAACCCATATCACCATTACAATAAGGCCAAAGGTAGCAAAAGAAGCTGGCGGAATTTCAAAGTTTTGAGAAATGTGCCTGTCCATGGAGCTAGCTTGGATCAGGATGAACGTGGTTTGGCTCACATTTATTGATAGCATGATTCCTGTACTCCACAATGGTAAGACCTTTATTAGTGCTTTAAGCTCTTCTACTTGCTCTATTGTGCAAAGTCTCCACGGATTGACAGCTAAGCCATTAGCGGCTATTTCTTGTTCAGGATTTCTAGTAATGCAAGCTTTATTCAAAAATCTAACAGAAGAAAAGAAAAGGATTAAGTTGGTAAAAACAGTCCAGCACAACATAAAAATAATATACCAATTAGGGCAAGCAAATATACCTTAACTTGTCAGTTGGCACAACAATTTTTGAATCCTTCCCGTGATGGTAACGCTCACTTGAATTTGGAAAGGGAAACGAGAGGTTTCTGTTTCTATAAGCAACCACAATCACTTGGGCAAAGCCAGTAAACAAGCTTTTCTTTGGTTTCTTCTTGAGATTCAGGAGAGAAGCAATGAAAAACATAATAACAGAGAGGAATATTAGGATGGCTGGAACTCCAAAACCCACTCTCCATCCAACATGATCTTGTATGTAAACAATTCCTGTCAAAGCAATTACTACAGCAAGGAATGAAGAAGCATGGTACCAACCAAAGAAGCTCTCTAAGACCCCTTGATTTTGAGTTGTCTCTACTTTCCAATTGATCAGCCCCAAATGCTATGGAGCATGGCCTAACACCACCAGCTCCAATGGAAATCGGAGCAAATGAGGAGAATAGATGAGCCAATTGAGCTGGTGTTGGCGATCTGCAGCTTTGGGTTGATTGATAGCAAGGAGGAGACTTTGATTTTGGAATCATGGCTGTTAATCATAAAAGAATTATCCCCTGTGCCATTCAAAATTCAGCATTATTCTTTTGAAATAAGTAAATGAAAATGCAGTTTAATTTAATCACATGGTCCAACGCATCATGTGCATTAATTGAATAACTCAAGCAAATTGTGGGGAAAAAAAACATATATCCTGTTGCTTATCATAGGTTGCCCCACAGTTCTCATCTAACTAATCTTTATATTCATTAAAATTTAAGGAAATTTTTACAGAAAAAGAAACCAAATCTTATTGATTAAAAGGGATAATCACTATGCAGCAGACAGTTATCAAATGAACGCCTACTCCACAATGATTTTTCTCCAATAGATATTACCCAACCTAATTGTCCCCAATGCCTGTTGCTAAAACTTCATCAAAACATGAGACTTTCCCTGTTCATAAATTAATTCTTCATTCTCTTCTAGTTTGGGGGCTCGGTGGGTGTTTCTAATGAATGAGAAAACACACAGGAGGATCAAAGGAAACCTTTTAAATAAAATTCACCTCTTGGCCACCGTTCACCCTGTTTGCAGGAAGAATTTGCAACCAATTATATTTTCTTGAATATATCCCCTCCAACCAAACCACCCGATGCTAAGCTACTTAAGATTTGCACCATCCTTGGATGTCCAATTCATTTGACAGATTTTGTATTTATTTGCAAGCAAGTATTGATTAAAAGAAGAAATAACTACATCATAGCATTCTCTTCATCTGATAACAGAACAGAAGTGGGCAAATGGGGACTGACACAAAATTATTGCAAAATAGATGGCTACTAATGTTGCATAGACTCTTCAATTTACACTACAAGATATGTAAGAACATCACTCTTGAGAGACTCAGTTCCAAATATCAGATGTTTACGCATTGACATGCCCTGCCGAGGGACAAACCATCGGAGAATGGTTTTGCAAAGGTAAAGAAAAAAAATTAAGAATAAGAAAAAGGTATTTTATAGTCGACTGCACCCGACTCCAAAATAGCAGCCATTAGATGAGGGTTCCCTGAATCAATCTATGCAATTGTCCTATGATATAATTGTATCTTCATCTTGGTGACGTTAACAAAAAACATTTTACTCAGTATAAACAGTACTGGTGCTCGTTTATTATTCCCAATTGAAGAGAAATTAAGAACAGTGATAAAAAGGAGAATACTGAATTATATTCAGATTTGCATGTTTGTTCTGTACAATGACATATGTATATATAATATTTACATGACATGTTTCCACACCTAGAATTATGCAGAAGATTGTTGTTTTGACC